ATCATCCACATATGCCGAGGCTAGGAATTCCTTCCCTCCCACACGCACCCCCCGTATAGCCGGGTGACGCCTGAGGGCTTGGAGTAGTGGTTCCATGGAGAGGACGAATAGAAGCGGGGACAATGGGCATCCCTGTCTGGTACCATTGTGTAAGCGGAATGGGATAAGAGGGGCCCCTGAGATATTTACTTGTGCTCGTACATCACTATACATGGCCTTAATTAATGTGATAGCTTGCGTGGGGAATCCCATATGGGACAAAAGGTACGAATAGGTACGTCCATGAGACCCTATCAAATGCTTTTTCAGCGTCTAATGAAACCAACATAGTCAGGGTGTGTGTAACTTTTTGCTTCCAAATGAGATCTATGTTCCTACGGGTGTTCTCAAACAACTGTCTGTTCTGCACGAACCCCACTTGATCTGCATCCACCAGTGAAGCCAAGTAAGGGTTCAATCTTGTCGCCTGAATTTTTGCTAGTATTTTCATGTCATGATTAATCAGGGATATAGGTCTGTAGCTAGTCGGGACGCTCGGGTCTTTATCTGGTTTTGGCAGTAAAACAATAGTTGCTAGCGACATTTCCACGTGTGGGGTGCCTCCTGATCTAAATTCGTTAAACAGGGCTGCCAGGTGTGGAGCAAGTTCATCCCGAAATTCCTTGTAGTAGCTCCCGTCAAACCCGTCTGGGCCAGGGGCTTTGTTCCCTTTCAAGGCAGCTATGGCTTGTGTCACCTCCTCTGTTGTGATTTCTGCCGCTAATGCTTCCCTCCCTTCCTGAGCTAGTTTGGGCATCCCTAAGTCTAACAGGAATTGCTGCGCCAATGCTTCGTCGCCCGCGTTTCAGACCCCGGAGAATGGTTATATAGAGATTTGTAGTAATCCGTGAAGACCTCCGCTATGTCACGGGGGCTGGTTTTAATTGCGCCATCATTGTGCCTAATGGATGTGATGTGTCCCCCTCTGTGTCTAGGTTTCAGTACTCTAGCCAAGAGTGTATCCATTTTGTTCATAAAAGGTTCGTCTGGACCACAAGATAGATTTTGCAGTGTCATCCAGGAGCAGCTGGCGTATTGCCAGTCGTATCTCCCCTAGTCTTCCTGTAGTGATGTCGTCCGGGTTGCTCTGGTGTTGTTGTTCTGCCCTCTTAAGGTCGGTCAGTAGGCCTTCTAATTTCTGGAATTTTAATTTCTTTCTGGCTGTTGCTAGTTTTATGAGTGTGCCCCTAATTACTGTCTTGTGAGCTGCCCATACTGTAGCTAATGTTCATCCCTGTCATGTCTGGGGTGGTGTTGGTCTTGAAAAAGCTGTTTATGTCCGCTCTAATTTGGGATGCTATGTTTTGATCTTTCAATAAGGAGGCGTTAAGTCTCCACGTCCAAGGGGTCGCTTCACAAAGCTTCCCCAGTGTCAGCGATATATCAGTGTGATCCGACCAGGTGATGGATCCAATGTCTGTGCTAGTTATTCGTGGTAGGCTCTTATTGTTCACTAGAAACATGTCTATTCTGGAATAGGACCTATGTGGGGCCGAATAGAAGGAGTAATCCCTCGCTGTCGGATGATGTGCTCTCCAGACGTCCACCAACCCTGAACCCGCCATAAATCTCTGGAGCAATTTATCTTGACTCCCCCTCCCCTGAGATCTTTGTGTGCTGCTGCCTGCCCTCCTGTCTGTTGCCGGGTTCGGCGTTGCGTTCAAGTCGCCCCCTATGATAATCATCCCATGGTATAGGGTTTGGAGTTTGTCCTGTAGTGACTCCCAAAAGACTGCCTCTGGGTGATTTGGTGCGTATACATTAATTAGGTGTATGGGGTGGGAGAGCAGAGTGCCCGAGACTATAACATATTGGCCCTCCGGGTCTGATTCAGTGGACGTAACTCTAATAGGGCAGCTATTGCATATGAGTATTGCTACTCCGTTGTGTTTGCATAATGTCCTAGCTTCATGTGTCGAACTGTATGTATGGACCCTCCATTTGAATTTGGCCTGTTTCGGTATGTGCGTCTCTTGTATAAATGCGATATCGGATCTCATCTGTTTAAGTTCTCTGAATAATAATCGCCGTTTTGTAGGGGAATTCTGTCCCCTCACGTTCAGTGACGTAATTTTAACTGCCATAGGTCCATTCCATTCGGTCTGCTACTGCCCGCGCCCACCTCTGCTCGTTGCGCGTTCCTCCCCACTGTGCCCTGCTGCTTCCCCCCCAGGAGGGTATAGGAAATAAGAAGAAGGAGTATAGTAAAGAAGAAGTTGGAAAAAGAAAAGAAATGAAAAGAAGTGGTGCAACTCCTGTGCTCCACCAACATTGTGGGGGTCAAGACCCCGCATCTCAGCCACGTCCAGCGTTCGGAAGAGATGCAGGTTCGTAAGCCCTCTCCCCATTGCGCGCTATTGCGCTTTCGTTAATGGCTACTGATAACGTGCGAAGATAACTTAACTCAAATTACAATAAGATACAATAAAATAACATAACATGTGGTAAAATGATATAACATAAAGTAATTTGCACCCGGAAATATGCCTATACATAGCGTCTCCTTAGGCGTCAGGTAATATGTTCAAACATCCCGTAGGTGGTCTACAGTGATACTATAGTGACTCAAACGGATAACATTATGGCCCCATAGCTGCCTAGTATATGATCTCACACTTTAGGGGATCCGATCCTAAGAACCTAATGAATGTGTCTGCCCGACCTCTCCCTTATCTGCCCTGCGACTACCATGTACCCCCTTCCTTCCTTCCTTCCAGGGGACCCAAATGCCGTATACACCTCGGGGGAGACTCCGGCAACCCGCGGCCCAATGATGCCCGCCCCCAGATGCCTAACAGGGTTTCTCGTCCGAGGAACGGTTAAGTGGAGTAGTGTGGGAGTTTCGTTAATGCTAGTGCGACCTCCGCAGCCGTATACTCTCTCTCCGGCCACCCCGCCCCTATGTCCCCCACCTGCCTGTTTCATGCCAGTATGTTATCTCAACGTGTGTAGAAGTATCCTAGTGTACTCATTTATGTGGTGATTTATGTGGTTATCTGGGGTCCCTGTGTGTTTTAGCTATATTATTTTGCTTATTATTATTTTTTTTTTGTGAGTTGTAGATTTCTCCTTGTTTTGTGTCCTGATTTCCTTTGTCTCCCTGTACTATGTTATAGATTTTAGTCTGCCCTTGTTTGTTGTTTGCCCTGTCTCCTCATCTATTGTGAGACCTATTAGTTGAGTTTATTTTGTTTTAAAATACCCCTATACAGCTATATCTTAGAAAACATTTGCCTCAGAGTCTATGAACAAGCAGCGAAGCGGCTTAAAATTCGAGCTGGCTGCCAGTTGCTATGTGTGTCGGTGTAGCTGAGGGTAAAACCCTGCCCGAGCCGAGCACTTTCCTGAGCCGGGTGGTGGGGGCCCCCATGTCCAGAATCGCTAGGTTGGAGACCCCGCCGCAACATGCCATTTGTAAAATGCCAACCCATTCCCCCCAAACAACGTCTGGCCGGACATGTGGTACCCGGGCCCAGGCCCCATTGTTGCTGTCCGTGCGTTAATATTGTGCCTCCTGAGACCCCCCGCCCCAAAAAAGCTGTAAAGTAATCCCCCCCTCGGCTCTGGCAATATCTGTAGAGGATGCCCAGCTCTGTCAGGCTTAACTCCCTCCCCAAAGTGTCCCGGCTTCCCCCTTGAAAGGCCCCAATTGTACCTAGGGTGTCCCCTGTGGGTAGTTACTGTACCCGATTCTGGAGTCAGCGTCGGCGTGCTCCCACCTCCTCCCACTCGGTCGGGAGGTGCTCCAGCTTATGGGAAGACTGCCTTGTCGCAGGTAAGCTACCTCGAGTCGAGATTCCTAGGGCATCCAAGAAGGCCCGTGGTTCTCCGTTGAGTGTCAGAATGTGGGTTTTCCCCCCGTAGAACGCCATCAGCCGGAACGGGAACCCCCATGCGTATTGTATGTTTGCACCTCGTAGTGCTTCTGTGACAGGCCTCCATTCCCGCCGTCTCTGCAGCGTGCTTGGGGCCAGGTCCTGGTAATTGCCTTTACTAAAAGGCAGAATATACTTGGATAAAAGCTGGTGATTCCAAACGTTAAGGAGTCATAGAAAAAGGTGCTCTGTGCAATTAGGCGCTTAACAATAATATATAAATAGAACAGCAGCTCAAACACGCATGCAGGTATCCCAATCCTACACAAACACAATGTGAAAGAAAAAAGTGAACTTAGTGGATCGTACTACCACCAAAAGATCACTCAGTGGAGCGCTAAATATCAAATTCTTACCCCTATTGGAATAACGTATATATCACTTTAAGGGGCAGACAGCATAATAAAATCTACAACAAGAAAATACACATCATAGTGCAGTATGCTTGTAAGGTGTGAATGGAGTGGAAGAAGATGTATGTCCAACTCACATGGTAAAGAGCCTGGAGATTGGCTCAAATCACAACAGCTGAGGTATGTTTGGTAATACCAGACCTTCTCCAGATATACAGCTCACAACATATGTGGATAAAAAAGGACAAAAATCCTAGTGCAAGTATGTTTAAAATAAACAAGTGGTCACATATAACAGTGCATGAATGTGCTCACCTGGAATAGAGCCAATTGTACTAGGCTCTATGTATAAGCGTGTGGTGCCTTTAAGGGAGGCACTACCCTTCTTTAGAAAATGCAGGAAGCAGTTGAAGATCCACTACCAGATGTATAAGGTAAAAGTAACAATTTATTAAAAAAAAAACAATTAAGCAAAGTAAAACTGTATATACAGATACCAAAAAGTAAAAGTCTCTGGGGTGGTCTTCCTTGGAGTTCCGAGACGCGTTTTCGCCGTGGGGCTTTCTCAATCGGATGAATCTGCTTCCTGAATGGGCGATGTTTAAATGTTGGCGCCGTCCGTCTGATTGGACGTGCTGATTGCCGGGTAGCCAATCGTAATGCATGGAATGTGGAGGTGTGTCTCACAGCTGACGGTCGTGAGTCCGGGAGCTCAAAACCCGGAAGTACCATGAAGTGTAGCCAATCTCACGTGGTTAACTGACGTTGTCACTGAACATGCTCCAAATGACAACGTCAGTTAACCACGTGAGATTGGCTACACTTCATGGTACTTCCGGGTTTTGAGCTCCCGGACTCACGTTCGTCAGCTGTGAGACACACCTCCACATTCCATGCATTACGATTGGCTACCCGGCAATCAGCACGTCCAATCAGACGGACGGCGCCAACATTTAAACATCGCCCATTCAGGAAGCAGATTCATCCGATTGAGAAAGCCCCACGGCGAAAACGCGTCTCGGAACTCCAAGGAAGACCACCCCAGAGACTTTTACTTTTTGGTATCTGTATATACAGTTTTACTTTGCTTAATTGTTTTTTTTTTTTAATAAATTGTTACTTTACCTTATACATCTGGTAGTGGATCTTCAACTGCTTCCTGCATTTTCTAAAGAAGGGTAGTGCCTCCCTTAAAGGCACCACACGCTTATACATAGAGCCTAGTACAATTGGCTCTATTCCAGGTGAGCACATTCATGCACTGTTATATGTGACCACTTGTTTATTTTAAACATACTTGCACTAGGATTTTTGTACTTTTTTATCCACATATGTTGTGAGCTGTATATCTGGAGAAGGTCTGGTATTACCAAACATACCTCAGCTGTTGTGATTTGAGCCAATCTCCAGGCTCTTTACCATGTGAGTTGGACACACATCTTCTTCCACTCCATTCACACCTTACAAGCATACTGCACTATGATGTGTATTTTCTTGTTGTAGATTTTATTATGCTGTCTGCCCCTTAAAGTGATATATACGTTATTCCAATAGGGGTAAGAATTTGATATTTAGCGCTCCACTGAGTGATCTTTTGGTGGTAGTACGATCCACTAAGTTCACTTTTTTCTTTCACATTGTGTTAAGGAGTCATAATTCGTTAATAATATATAGAATTGGTAATTCCATTCCTGCAGGTGAACCAATGCACTCTATATTACTTTTAACTTTAAAAATTGAATACCAGAGCTTCCCTGACACATCTGATGTATGCTGGAGATGCAAAGCGGACCGAGGAACCATGATACATATATGGTGGCACTGCCTGAAGCTCAGCTAATATTGGAAGCATGTATCAGCCCTGGAAACCCAATTCACTAAAGTGCACCTGCCCTTTCTGCCTGAAACATTCTTACCCTTCCTGCTGCCACACGTACCACAAAAATGTCACAGGTACCTACTATACCACATAATCATTGCGGCCCTCACTGTCATCAGCAGGCAGTGGAAACAGACATCCACCCCCACGATTAAACAATGTATCAATGCAGTCAAGACTACTAAAGCCTATGAAACTATGGCAAGGAAAACAACGCTGAAAGCCCCCTACTGGCCTACGGCATGGGAATTGTGGGAAAAACACAAACCCGAACAAAACTGACACACAAGCACGAACCTGTAACCTCCCCGACTGGAGGCACAACATCTCCATACATGTTTAGCTTAATGTGAGGACAGCATCAGACTACCACCCAACCTATACTGCACCCCTAAACCCTTCACCCTTCCAATGCTCCCCTCTCCATCCCCTCCCTCCCACCCCATCCCCAGACCCATCAGGCAATGGAACTGATAACACAGGCCGTACCACCACCTTTGGGCTACACCCTGCCACATCCCCAGCTCACACTAATCGTGGATGTGCTATGGAACCGGTACTGTGCAATATTCGATTAAATGTCATGTCATAAAATCAACTATTAATATGTGAAAAATGTGGGAACTTGCAATGTCGTATGCCTCGAAACTGTTACTGAAATTTATATGCACTGACTTTCATTGCTGTTCCCCTACCCCCCTTTTCTCTTCTGTACCCTCCCTCCCCCAGCTGCGCAATCTGAAAAATAAAAATTGTCAAATTAAAAAAAATAGAATACCAGGCAATCATCCAGATATATTAGCTTACGTAATTTAGAAATATACCCTGTTCTAAATTATTATGCAAATTATAGTTTTCTAATTTACCTAAATAATTGATGTAAATAACAGTCAGCATAATACTCATGTTATTAACTATTAAGAGTACAATACAAATTTTATTGAACAAACCTCCTAATGATAACAGTATTTTTTTAAAACATAAAAAACTTACAATGCAATGTTCCAAATTATTACGCACAGTAAGTTTCAAAACACTTTATAGGTTGTAAAGAACTGAAAATTGTCATTTGTTGTGTTTGCAGCATATTTACTGAAATCAAAAGCTATTTCAATCAAACTTATAACAACATTTTAACTTTTTAAACATTTTAACAGGTCACGTTACATTTTAACATAGGACCCCTTATTTGATAGTAGCTTCACAAGTCTTGCATCCATTGAACTTGTGAGTTTTTTGACAGTTTCTGCTTGAATTTTTTGCAAGATGTCAGAATAGCCTCCCAGAGCTGCTGTTTGGATGTAAACTGCCTCCCACCCTCATATATCTTTTGCTTGAGGAAGCACCAAAGGTTCTCAATAGGATTGAGGTCAGGGGAGGATGGAGGCAACTCCATGACTTTCTCTCCTTTTATCCCCATAGCAGCCATTGATGCCGAGGTATTCTTTGCAGCATGAGATAGTGCATTGTCATGCATGAAGATGACTTTATTACGGAAAGCACAGTTCTTCCTTCTGTACCAGGGAAGAAAGTGGTCAGTCAGAAACTCCACATACTTTGCAGAGGTCATCTTTACACCTTCGGGGATCCTAAAGGGGCCGACCAGCTCTCTTCCCATGAGTCCAGCCCAAAACATGACTCCACCACCACCTTGCTGATGTCGCAGCCTTGTTGGAACAGGGTGGCCGTCCACCAACCATCCACTACTCCATCCATTTGGACCATCCAGGGTTGCACGGCACTCATCAGTGAACAGGACTGTTTGAAAATTAGTCTTCATGTATTTTTCTGCCCAATGCAGCCATTTCTGCTTGTGAGCATTGGTTAGTGGTGGCCGAATGGAAGGTTTATGCACAGTTGCAAGACTCTGGAGGACTCTACACCTTGATGTCCAGAGGCACCAGCAGATTGAAATATCTGTTTGCTGCTATGTAATGGTATTTTAGCAGCTGCTCTCTTGATCCAATGCATGGATCTGGCAGAAATCTTCCTCAATGTGCCTTTATCTGCACGAACCAGTCTGTGCTCTGATTTAGCCACAAATCTCTTAATAGTGCGATGAGCACGCTTAAGTTTTTGTGAAATATCTAATGTTTTCATACCTCGTCCAAGGCATTGAACTATTTCACTCTTTTCAGCAGCAGAGAGATCCTTTTTCTTCCCCATATTGCATGAAAATGGTGCTCTGCTTAATAATTTAGTAGTTTTTCATTAAATTGGGCTCATCTGGCAATCTAATTATCACAGGTGTCCAAGATTGTTTTCAGTGATCAAAGGAGCCCTGAGACACAATGCCATCCATGAGTTAAACTGAAAAACAAAATATTTAATTTGCATAATAATTTGGAACAGGGTGTAGTGAGCCAGCAGTGAAAGAGTTAATTCAGTGTGATTTGACTGTCAGCTAAAGTGTTTGTTGCTTTACGCTGTGCTGCTGTGAGATGCTGTGTTCTGTGTTAAGTTAATTTCAAAGTGAAATGTCCTATCGTAAATCTTGTTGAAAACTGCATACATGTTAACTTGCTATTTAGCTTTCTATAATTTGTGTTAAACCACTGCCATATTGTATACTTATGTTAAATATTCACTGATATCACGCATGTTACTTATTATTAATATTATTATTATTATTATTGTCACAATAAATGATATTTGTATAATTAATTTGTGGTTTATGTGTGAAATAAATTATTCTAATGAAACTCTCTCAGTAAGCACTTCCTGTCAGTCTGGCTGGGTACAGAAAACAGAAGCTCCTGTACTGGGATTCGCTCCACTCGGCCATGCTACAAGAGATGTAGGAGGCACACCAGGAAGGGGAGGGGACCACTAAGGGGTTGGGGGGTACACCGCAGTCTGCTCCACTTTGCCATGCTACACTCAGTGTTGTATACACACTGACAGTTACACACACTCAATGACAAACACACAGACGTCACTGACAGACACAGACTCACTGATCTGACACACACTCATTCATTGATAGACACACACACGCAGACTGACAGACACACACACTGACAGACACTCACTAACAGATGCACACTGATAGTCACACAAAGACTCAATGACAAACAGACTCTCACTGTTTTGACAGACACTCACAATCACAGACTGACAAACACACTCACATGCACACACATACACTCACAAACACACACACACTCATACACACACACTCATATACACTCACAGACACACTCATACACTCACTCACACATGTATACCCACTGCTTATTAATATTACTATAATTAAAAATACTCCACCCAGCCTCCCTACCTGGAGAGCTGGTGTAGGTCTCTCGTTGGGGGTCCAGTGGCGTTGCTGTGAGGCGTGCAGCGTTATTGGCATCTGATCCGAGGCAGCGAAGGAACTCTGATCTCAGCTTCTTGGATGCGATTACAGCCACATGCTGGGGGGACCAGAAGGTGGCCTGCAGGCCAGCCCTTGGACCACCCTATGACAGGGGGAGCAGCAGGGCATATGGGGCCAGTATTTTTTGTTGCACCCTGGTTAGTGTCCCATGTGCTAAATACAGCACTGGCTACATTGAGTGACTGGTAGGAGGGAGTGTTGTGCCATTCAGCAATATATAAAATCTCTGATTGAATAAAAGAAGTGACATTAATAGTAAAAATTTGTGATACCATCACAGTGATACAAGTACAGTGATACACATACAGTATTATTGAAAGAAATAATGTGGTTTTATATATTGCTGAATGGTGTTTTATATTATCTATTTTAGAGCTTATTGAGGCTCGTTGTCAAATATATATTTTGTCCCAGGTATATTTAAAAAAAATGTCCCCAGTGCTTAGATGGAATGCTAGCTAGCTTCCACTAATGTATTGATTTATCTCTTGACCAAGACCGCAAACAGCGATCTCTGTCAGGATTACAGAATGATCCAGCACGTAGAATTGTGTAACACATAGGACTG